GCCATTTGTCGCATAGTATTAACTTGAGGTAATAGGCCACGTTTATCCATAGATACTATCCATTAGACTAGGATAGACTCTTCGTTCTAAGTAAGTTTGAGGTTTGTAGACCGTAAGTCGTGTTGCGCAATGCGTCTATGAAGACGATTATGAGTAGTTGCATAATGAATATCATATGCATCTATAGCAGCTTTTAGGCTTTGAAATTGCCCTTTCTAGTAAGCTTGAATAGCTAGGGTAATTCGACCTTTGTTTTGAGCTAATTAAAAGCTCTTTCGTAGAGGCATTATCACTAGAGTCGTAGGCTACATGTAGGTTATAGATGGTTTCTAGGTGGAATTATCAATTTGCTTATATTATCAGCTCACTTGTGCTTATATTATCAGCTCACTTGTGCATTATGTTAACATAGATGAATCTAGGTTTTTAATTAGGATAATGGAATCTACTCAAATTATACTTAATTCTACATAACATGACTTAGTCACGAGGCTAGGCTGTAGTAGCATGACTCATCTAGTGGATAGTTTAGATAGTTAGATAATTCTAACTATCCTAACTATCTAACTATCTATAGGCACGATGCTACTATGTAAGTAGATAGTATTTCCTTAGATAGGAGCTTTGTGCTCAACTCAATATAGTATTCTTTACATACTGTAGTGTGTTACTTAGAAGGCCGTCTGATCGCCTGCCTCCTCTGTTAAGTTAAACCTTAACTAAGAGACCTCTATGCATCCTATTAGATAGTAAGTAGTGTTACAATTCTCTAATTGTGGATTCTACCTATAGTCATTAACTAATCTCTATAAATACAAAAGGTTGGATAAGCAACCTCTATAGGTTAGAGTGGTTAAAATGCATCTTTAAGCTAACATTACATGTAAAAGCAGATGGTTAACACTAGCTTATTATATGTAACAGCTACGATTTACACATTAGTAGAAGTTTCATTACACATTACTTATAGAACTACATTGTATTACTAATGCTTCCCCCTTATACATTACATTTGCTACAACTGTTAGATGTTGTGATATTTAGCCTACTAAAAAAGCGTCTAATAGCAGTGCTCTCCCTACTTAACTAAGCATAACTTACATGCATACAAAAGTATAAATGGATAGAGGCATACATATAGGCACGGCTTAATGTATGTAACTATTGGAATATTAAGTTAGCATACTATAGTGCTAGCTTGTTCCCGTTTAATCCCTACATCTGTTACTCTATAATGAGCTATTAGTTGAGGTTAACTAACTAGAAACACCAAATTTGTATGATATTTTTAATTAAGTCTTTGTTAATAGTTTACCCCTAGATGGTACGACCTTACGCACTACAAATGCGCTCCTTACAACTACAATTAATGGTGGAGGGTGCTGTTAACACTAGTGTAGACATATCTAAAAACTCAGTTTCGTTAGAGCAACTCTAAGCACGTAGTATTATCCACCAACTTAATGCTAACAACTTATGATTAGTAGTGAAGCGACGTGCTATACGTACGAAAGGGAAAAAGGTCATTCTAAAGGGTTACTTTTATGTTTCTACACAAGAATTATGTAATGCAGTAGTAAAAAACAACACAAAACCTAGGCAAGAAAAAGCAAGAAAAAGCAAGAAAAAGCACAAAACAAAGGATAAGCGCACATCCTTGGATGATGAAATTGACGAGTATATTGAAGAAGAAGCGGGGGAACGATCCGAGAGCGACAGCGGGTCATGTATTGTTGTTGATCGTAGTTAAATTTACAGTTAAATTTACAGTTATGTTGCATGGTCTTCAAAAATCTCCCGCGTTACGGGAGCGGCTAGCTAGCCAGCTATCTGCAGATTTCTATTCCGGGTAGATAATCTGCGATGCAGGAAGGCAGGCCCTCAGAGGAGCTGATTGGTGCGCGTTGTGTGCGAAGATGACGTGCATGAAATCGCGATGCGATGTGCCAATCTGCGATGTGCGATGGGATGGAGGGGAGGGGGTGCGGGAGGGCATGGGGGGATGCATGGGGGGATGGGGGATGCGACGGTACAGTATGGGATGGGATGGGATCGGTGGACGATGGGTTTGACATCAAGTAGAGGGGGGATAGATCATCTTTCCGGCGTTCCTGTTTGGTGGTTGACCGGTGTGTAGCGGGCGATGCGTGGCATGGGGTTGTTGTTGACCATGCGATTTATCAATTTATTATCGACTGAGCTGTTAGCTGACTATTGACAGGTACCTCACCGACCGAGCGAAGCCAAGCCCTAAACGAAGCTGTTGATGAAGCTACGGATCAGCCATTTGATAGCCATTTGATCAGCCATTTGATCAGCCATTTGATCAGCCATTTGATCAGCCATTTGATCAGCCATTTGATCAGCCATTTGATCAGCCATTTGATCAGCCATTTGATCAGCCAGCGCTGGAGGGGATGTAGCCATTGGCCGCGGAGTCGTCGACTACTCGACTACGGCGTACTACTGTATGTGCTATGTCATCTAGTGGGAAACAGTGAACCATGACCGGCTGGAACTGTGTGTCTTTTCTGTTTTTTCTACTCGGTTTATGACAGGCTTATGGGCAGGTTTAGGAGCTTGCTTCGGTTCGGGGTATGGGCGGGGGCCCAGTCTCCCAGAATTTCAAGAATTTCAAGGTACAACCAGTTGAGACAGGCTGGCTGTACCTGTACTCCCTGTACTCCTGGTCTGTACCTCTCCTACAGGCATCGTGCCTTCATGCATGGATCCGGCGCAGAGCAGGTACAGGACAGTTGGTTACCAATAACCTCGTAAAAGACCCGCATACGGGCGTCGGGCAGCATACATAAATAGCGATATATGCAAGACAGCGCGAGCGTTGGCAAGCACTTAGCAGGTATGTATGTGCGCGCGAGTAAGATATCCTACTCACCTCTCTCAGGCACCCGAGGCCGGAAGGTGAAACATGACGACGAATGGAGCTTGCGGGCGCGGGCAAAGGAGATTGGTTTCATTCAGGAATTCACAGTACGTCAAAGCTCCTGTTTAGGTTTGGGGGGGGATGCAAGTAGATGTGCGGTATCTTGGGCGGCTGAAACCAAACAGACACGGCCTGAGAACACACCACGAACATGGCAATTGTGTACTTGTCCATATATTATCGTATGGAAGAGTACCTCGACAACCTGCGCAAGGTATGCCCACGAACCATGGCGTCTAGCTCTCTTCCTTCCCTTCTCTCCAGCTATCCCATCTAAAGCCACCAAACCCATCATCACTAACATCACTAACATCACTAACATCACTAACATCACTAACATCACTAACATCACTAACCCCATCTAACCCGTCTAAACCAATGAAAAGTGCCCACCTCAATTGCCGTCAATTCACAGCCAATTCTTTCCCTTTCCCTTCTCCCTTCCTCTAAAATAGCTATCTTTACCACCATCTTACCACACAACTTAGCACCATCTTAGCACCATCTTAGCACCATCTTACCACCATCTTACCACCCATTACCACACCTAACCACTACCTTACACTACCTTACCACACCTTACCACACCTAACCACACCTAACCACACCTAACCACACCTAACCACTACCTTCCCACTACCTTACCACACCTTGCCACACCTAACCACACCTGACCACACTAAAAGTACCTTACTTACCTTACTTGCACCACCCCCTAGCCAGCCCACTACATACTTGTCTACCACCCACCACCCACCCACTACCCTCCCACCACCACACCACAACCACACCACAACCACACCACAACCACACCACAACCACACCACAACCACACCACAACCACACCACAACCACACAACACACACCCAGAAACTTTTACTTCCACCTTCTATCCTCTTCTTACCTCCCACCTCCTCCACCACCCACCTTACTACCTCTCTTCTCTTCCTTCTCTTCCTTCTTTTCCTCCTCTTCCTTCTCTTCTTTCCACTCCCCATCGCCTCCCACCCGCCCGTTTTCCTCACTCTTCCCTATTTTGACATCTTTGTGTGTCGCGCGTGCGCTCTATTATTATATTTGTTTCTCTCCTTCCGATAAACAAATTCTCCAAGCCGCCAGCCAGCCAGCCAAAAAAAAAAAAAGGTTCCCACTCGGCTCCTTCGTGTGCTTTTCGTGTGTCTGGGTTGCGCGTCGCGCTTGTTCGGACTGATTTTACCAAAACTGCTTTCCCCCAAAACCAACAATCCGAAAGAAAAACGAACTTTCCATTCGGCTTTGTCCCAGCTACCTACTAGCATCTGCGCCTTTCTTCAAATCTTTACGATCACGATTCAGGTCCTTCTAAACGTATAAATCTTGCCGGTTTTTAATATTCTCGACCACAACTTTCCCCACTGAGCTCTCGAAACCTTGCACATATTTTATCCCGCCGAAACTCGCTCTCCTCCTGGATAACCTTCCGACTACGACAACGAATTACCGGCTTTAAAGGGCTTCTTTGAGGTAAGTGCGCATATACATCTCGATCATGCCCCCCCCAATATATACAGGAGTGCTCAGTAGTTGCTGTTTGCGCGTCCCACCCTGTGCTCTCCCCCCATAAAGTTATGACCTGCCCGGCTGCATTGTCCTTGAGTGAGGTCATCGTACGGTGCGATTGAAGTCCCAATTGTCCTCGATAAATGCTGCCCATGCTGTCCATGACATGTTGTCTCCAAGTAGGAGAGATCTATGTGATAATTCTGGCTCCATTCCGCCAGTGCGCAATGCGCCGAGAAGAGTGCGATCGAAGTGAGGTCGTGGGGCTGCTGTAGAGTGACTCCCAGCCCCATCCCCCCAAGAATGGTTGCCGTCGGTGCCTCGCCGTCGTCGTCGATGCCTTGCCGTGAACCCCACAACGCGTCACACAGGCTTACCTTTTTGCCCAGAATATTTCCTTCGACGCTTCCTCCCTTCCTCCACACAACCACCCTTCACCTTCACAACACCTTTTCCAATCTTGCACAAACACTTTATTGCCATTGACAAACCTAACAACCCATCAAGCTTGCACGCCATGTCTTTCCCAAGCTTCGATCCCTCGCAGGGACAACCTGCTCAGTTCACCGAGAACGGAAACACTGGCCTCACCCAGGGTCAGCCACCGATCCAAAACATGCAGCAGAACATGCCCGGCATGCAACAAACTCCCCAGGGCTCCGATGCCCAGGCCCCTTTCCAGGGACAAGGTGCTATGGAGCAAGGCCAAGGTGGATCGACTGGCGCTGCTGACTCCAAGACCACTCTCTGGTAAGTTGAACCTCCTCCCCCTCCTGGTGTAGATCTTGGGCCATACACGACCTTGATACCCAGGGGTAGCAAGGTTGGGTTCGTTCAGCGTGAAGGTACAGATTCAAGAATAATAGCTTGATAGCTCTTTATTCCCCTGAATCTGCTTCACCCCACGCCTAGCGTAGACCTTTGTCCTTCATGCATACTAACCTCCAATAGGATGGGAGAGCTGGAGCCATGGATCGATGAGAACTTCGTCCGCAGCGTTTGGTTCGGAATGGGCGAGCAGGTCAACGTCAAAATGATCCGTGACAAATTCTCTGGGTAAGCTCCAATCCTGCCAACTGACCTTGTTTCCGATCTAACAGCATTTTAGCAACGCCGGCTACTGCTTCATTGACTTCACCACGCCTGAGGCTGCTGCCAAGGCTCTTTCCTTGAACGGATCCATGATTCCCAACACTTCGCGCCCATTCAAGCTCAACTGGGCTTCCGGTGGCGGGCTCGCTGATAGACGGTCAGAATCTCGGTCCTTATTCCCCGTGTTTAACACCTTGCTTGAGACTTTTGCTGACTATCATTGTAGTGATGACCGAGGACCCGAGTTCTCTATCTTTGTTGGTGACCTTGGCCCAGAGGTCAACGAATATGTCCTGGTCTCGCTTTTCCAGTCCAGATTCCCATCTTGCAAGTCTGCCAAGATCATGACTGATCCGATCTCCGGCATGTCGCGTGGCTACGGCTTCGTTCGCTTCTCCGATGAGGGAGACCAGCAGCGCGCTCTCACTGAGATGCAAGGCGTCTACTGCGGCAACCGCCCCATGCGTATCTCCACCGCAACCCCCAAGAACAAGTCCGGCGGTGGTGGACCACCTGGTGCCATGGGCGGTATGCCTGGCGCCCCAATGGGAGGCAACATGGCCCCTGGCATGTACTCCATGGGAGCTCCCCCGATCGGCTACTACGGTGCCCCCCAGCCAATGAACCAGTTCACTGACCCCAACAACACCACCGTCTTCGTCGGTGGCCTCTCTGGCTACGTCACCGAGGACGAGCTCCGCTCTTTCTTCCAGGGCTTCGGGGAGATCACCTACGTCAAGATCCCACCCGGAAAGGGCTGCGGCTTCGTCCAGTTCGTCCAGCGCCACGCCGCTGAGATGGCCATCAACCAGATGCAGGGTTACCCCATCGGGAACTCCCGCGTTCGCCTGTCTTGGGGACGCTCCCAGAACAACTCTGGTCCCGCTGGAACCCCCTACAGACCGGCTCCACCGCCACCACAGTACCAGGGCATGGGCATGCCACCATCCCACCCCTATGGAAACTTTGCTCCTCTTAAGGTAAGATTGAAAACCCCTGTGAAATATGTCAGAAAGTTGTCTTGCTAACCACCGATCCAGTAAAAGCATGAATGATTCTTCCGTGTCTCTCGCGAATGGAGTTAGTTAGTCAGCACTCACCGGCGTACTTGCACTTGGCTTGCCTGTTTGATCTGGCTTCACTTCTGCTCATCGACTTGCCTGGAGCTACCGTTTATTACTCTTAGCGTTGCCTTGTCAAATGATGGGCGGGGATCTGCATTAACTTAACGACGGCCTATGTACAAAAGTGCATTAGAGGGCTCTTTTTATCACGCGACGACGACCTGGGGGTGCTTCGGATCAGTAACAAAATGTTTTGCGTGCTTGGTTTTTTGTGCTTGCTTTTTTTTCTTTTTGCTGGCTTGTCCCGTCGAGGGGTGTTTTTGTTTTTGCCGCCATCCTGTTTTCTTCGCGGCGCTTTGTCGCCTAACTTGAGGTTCGGTTCTGGTTTGATTTCGGAGCTCTTTGGGCCTTCATTCCAACCTGTGATTTTCGAGTTTGTGGCATCGCCATTTGTCGAAGAAACATAATTATCTGATGGATCGGTCAATATATGTGTCTCTTCTTCCTTTCGACGGGATTTCGCGCAGCTTACCTACCTACTACTAGTTTTCGTTCTCTCTCTCTTCGGAAATCTCGTTTTTTATCATAGTCGTCGTCGTTTTCCAGTACCAAACTCACGCCAAAACGAATCAACACACACACAAGAAAAGTTTTTAGACTCTCAGGGATTAACATACGACGGACGGCCTATTTGCGGCTTCTTCTCTTTTTTTTTCTTTTGAGTTGTGCTCTTTCGAGGGATGATGGATGGTGAAGGTGTAGATCGGGATGAATTGAGAATGGAGAGTGGTAACAGATCAATTGAGAAAATTTGATGAAGGTTGTTTCCTTTTGCTTTGGTGCTGCTGTTGTGTTGTGTCGTGCTGTTGTTGGCGTTCGTTTGTTCGTACGTTGGCTTGGCTTGGCTTGGTGATCGTTCGTCTGGTTCGTGTGTTTGGTGAATGCTCTGTTGTGTGCTTGTGATCGATCATGTTGTTGTTTCGTGATCGGCGTTGCGTAATCTAAGTGAGGGTGAGGAAGATGAGGAAGGGTAAGTTGCTGATGGGGGTGATGGTAAGTTCATGAACGGGGTGAGTTACCTTCAGCTCGGCCACGAGGTGAACTCTTCTCGGCGTCCTCGTCGTCGTCATTGTTAGATCGGCGCGTCCTTTGTCCTTTCGCCCATTGACCTCGAAGTTCTTTGTGCCCATTGTGCCGTCGTCCTCGACGTTTTGTCCTCGACACTTTCTATGATCTATGATAGATAGGTGGCTGTTTTGTTTTCGTTGAGGGGGGTGAAGATGTTCGTTGAGAGGGCGGCAGGTAAGGCGGCTTAGTCGGCGTTGCCGCTGTGTTCTGTGGACTTCCGCCAGAGGAGGGGGGGGGCTGGCGGGGCTAGTCTACTCTACTTTGCTGTGAGTAATGTCTGGAATTAGAAATCGTTGCCGTCGTGTTCTATGGGCTTCCGCTATAAGAGAGGCTGGGGCATTACTCTATTCTACTCTACTCTACCCTAGTTTACTCTGCTATACCCCTCGTAGCATCTCGAATGAGAAATGGTTGACGCCGAGGTGGGTGCGGGTATGGGGTAGGGATATGGTTCTTTATGGAGGATATAGTGTGGATGGCACGTAGGAGGCGTGAGTGGCTCGTAGAAGGCATAGACGATTTGTAGAAGATACGGATGACACGTAGATATAGATGATTTGTAGAAGCTACGGCATATATCAGGGGGTTAATCAATGGTATGAGTTAGAAATATATAATCATTTGCAACTCAGAGACTCCATGAATCCTGGTGTACGAGACGACATAGCTCGTAGAAGATACGACAGCATGACAGCACGTAGAAGGCACGAGAGCAAGCAATCTAAGAGCCAGAAAATTGTATTTGCAATCGGGAGTGTTGTATTAACTCTTGTCTCCTCTGGTATCCCTAACGCCGCTCTCATGTACAGGATATAAAGAAAAACAAAAACTCCCGCCATGCACCTCCATCGTACAACTCCTTCCCACCACCCCATCCAGCGCAGAGATAGCCCAGCTAACCCCACCACCCTCACAACCTACAGCACCTACACCACACCCCCTATTTCCTAACCTTCCTAGCATGCTGCACCAAATTCTCAATCACCCCCTCAAACGCCTCCCTATCCCCCAACTTCTCATCCGTCCTCCTCGTCCAATACTCCAGCACCCCCTCCGCCGCCCCCCTCAACCCCTCCAACACCTCAACATGCTCCTTCAGCTCCGCATCCCTCAGCCCCGTTAGCGCTTCATCAGTCGTACTACACAACCTCCTCGCGGCCCCCAGATCCAGCGCCGGCGCTGGCGGCGGCCCGCGCCGCCTCTTCGATTTCCCAGAGGAGTCGACGGAGGCGGAACTCCCGTTGCTGTCACCCTGTAACCTGGCCACTGACCCGAGTCGCGCGTCGGAGGAGGTGCGTGGGGAGGCGGTGGATGGGAGGATGAGTTTCGCTTGCTTGCTCGCTGGGAGGATTTCATCCAAGTCGATCGGCACACCTAGCGAAACGAGGAAGAGACGCCGGATGCGAGAGCGTAGCCAGTTTGGTGGGTTGAGAGGGGGAGGGGCGCTGAGTTGGGCCCAGAGGGAAGCGGAGCGGGGGGTGGGGAAGAGGGAGGTTGGTGGGGCGGTGGTGACCGCGGGGGGAGAGGGGGGGAAGAGAGTGTCTAAGTAGGGGGTTGTGGCGGCGTGGACTTCGGCGGGGGAGTCGAGGGTGTCGAAGGAGAGGGGGGGCTGTGGTGGTGTGTTAGTAGGATTGGTGGGTTGGGGGGGTGTGGCAGATGGGAGTTGGGGGGGTGCTGGGGGATGGGATGGGACGGTTGCGCAGTGCATGCATGTGTGTGTGTCACTTACGAGGGATAAAGAAGCTATCTGCGGTAAAGACTGTACAGGTTGTGCACCCGCCTCCTGGAACCCGTCGTCGAAGTCCCCAAACTCCGCGTCCTCGTCCCCCTCCTCGAAATCGTCAAAGTCGTCGCCGAAGCCCGCATCCTCGTCATCCTCATCACCGTCGGCGTCAGCGTCGTAGTCGCCGCCCGGCGGGGGTAGCGCGTGGCTCACAGACGGCGGTCTGGCGGCACTAGAGGTTCGTGACCTTGTCTCGGACTTGGGCGCAGAGGGGGAGGTAGGAGAGCGCGGCCGCGTACCTGAGACGTCTCCTCCCTCCTCCTCTGCTGAAGTAGCCCCAGAATCCGGGGTGTGGATGATGCGGTCGGGCTGGGCGTCGGCGGGGTAGACCTTGGGCGTGCTGGGCTTGTGGGCGTGGCCCCGGATGGGGGAAGGGGGGGCCTCTTCGAGCACCGTCTGTGGGATGGGCGTCAGAAGACGAGGGACTGGGTCGGTGGCAGAGGAGGATTTCTTTTCGACGAAGGCGACTTCGTCGGGTCGGGCGTCCTCAGAGCGCTGGTCGTAGGCTGCTGTCCCGGGGACTTCGCCGTAGCTGGCTTCGTGGTCGACTCGCTCCACCCGGGTCGTGGGGATGGGGGATGCGGTGCGGGAGTAGGCCGCGCGGTCGCTACGGGCATCGGAGAAGTGGTCGTCGGAGTCGGAGGATTCTGGAGGGGGTGTTAGTTATGTGTATGGACTGGTTGTGGGGGGAGGGGTATCGCTCACCCAGCTCGTGGGCGCCGGGGTCTTCGATGGCCTGGCTTGGAGGGGAAGGGGGGGCCAGCGTTGCTTGCGTGTCGTCTTCGGCCATCGTGGGTTCAGCGGCGTCGAAGGACGCAAACTATCGTCCTTGGGGGCACTGAAGGCTTTAATGTAGATAGAACTCTAGCCCATGGAAGCGCTCAAGATGTATCGGTGAATAAAAAGTAAGTGTATGGTCGAGGGGGGTCTGGGCTGTGGTCTGGGTGCCAAAAAATAATGAGGCTCGCTAAATCCCCAATGATCGACCCATGGGTGCTTTGCGCGCCTCACGGTAAAAGCTATCTGGGCTACCACTTGGTTTATCACGTTTTACGTCTAATACCCTCGACGCTTTCCTCTCAACCCCACGCACGCGTCCAGATCTGTAGAGGAGGACGAATTCACGCACCTGGCCCACCTGCGTCCGCCCCGGATCCTGTGCGCTGCAGAATTCTGCCTCGAAACAAACGAAATACATGACAATAAGCTCTTCGGCGACATAGCTCTTGCTGAATTGCCATCCTCGACGAGCTCAACGGACGAATCTCGCCCAATATGTCTTTCAGCTTCGGTGCCCCAGGTGGAACTGGTGGCAACCTTTTCGGACAATCAACCACACCAGCGTCATCGGGCGCGCCCACGACGGGCCTTTTTGGCCAGCCTACGGCAGGCGCCACGGATAACAAACAGACCTCAGGTGGCCTCTTTGGGGGTGGAGGTGCTGCAGCTACGACAAAGCCAGGTGGGTTTTCTTTTGGCGCTACGCCAGCTTCGACAGGACCGTCGAATATGTTCGGGGGAGGCGCTGCGAAGCCAGCCGCATCCGCGCCTTTGTTTGGGTCTGCAGCCACAACCACTGCTCCTGCTGGCCGCTTATTCGGGGCAACTACTTCTGGCGCCACTGCAGGTGCGACCCCGGCAGCGGCTCCAGCTGGTGGACTCTTCGGTGGTGGCTTCCAGGCCAATAAGCAGCCCTCCTCCTTTGGCAACTTCTCCTTCGGCCAGAGTGCAACTCAGAACCCACCCAGCTCTACACCGACCACCAGCTCATTCCCTACCCCGAGCAAGCCAGAGACGCCTGCAGCACCAGCCAACCTCTTTGGCGCCGCAAGCAAATCCGCAGGTGCACCAGCTGCTGCTCCAACTCTTGGCTCAACTACACCAGCTCCAAACAAACCAGCTGGCAGCATGTCCAGCTTCCCTTCATCTACAACCCCAGCTGGTACACCAGCAGGTGGCAACGCAGCGGCGCCATCTCTGTTCGGTGGTTTGAATAAACCCGCTGCTCCTGCTGGTGGTGGTCTTTTTGGTGGCCCCAAGCCAGCTGCGGCTGCGGCTCCACCTGCGAGCGCGGCACCAGCTCCTGGAGGACTCTTTGGCGCGGCGAAGCCTGCTGCACCAGCAACCGGGGGACTCTTCGGGGGCGCCATGGCCGCGAAGCCCCCAGCTGCTCCGGCTACCACCGCTGCGGCACCCACGGGAACCACCCCAGCCTCCTCTGCCCCCGCAGCTGCAGCTGCAACTACCGCGACCCCTTCGCTTTTTGGCGGAGGTGCAGCTGCGCCTCCTAAGGCTGGTGGCCTTTTTGGTGGTGCTGCTGCTACCACCGCTGCTGCTGCCCCTGCATCTACCACTGCACCAGCACCTGCTGCCCCAGCAGCCAGCTCTCTGTTTGGTGCCACCGCAGCGACATCAGCGGCCGCGCCGCCCACTGCAGCAGTTGGTGCCGCGCCTGCTACTGGTCTCTTTGGTGCTAAGCCTGCTGCCATCTCAGGAGCTACCCCTTCTACGGCCGCACCAGCGACGGTGCCCGCAGCTGCTGCAGCTACAGCTCCAGTGGCAATCAACCCAAATGTCTCAACCGCTGGGCCTGCGCCGCAGATGTCCCGTCTGAAGAACAGGACTATGGACGAGATCATCAACAGGTGGGCGAGCGACCTTTCCAAGTACCAGAAGGACTTCCAGGAGCAGGCAACAAAGGTTGCATCCTGGGATAGACTCTTGGTTGAGAACGGTGATAAGATCCAGAAGCTCTATGTCAGCACGTTCGAGGCGGAGAGGGCTACATCCGAGGTAGAGAAGCAGCTTACTGCGGTGGAGAACATGCAGGGGGAGCTGGAGGGCTGGCTGGATCGCTACGAGAAGGACGTTGATGAGCTCTTCAACAGGAATCTGGGATCGAGCGATAACCTGCAGGGTCCGGATCAGGAGCGTGAGCGCATGTACAAGCTGGCTGAGAAGCTGGCGGGACGTCTGGATGATATGGGCAAGGATCTCACGAGCATGATCCAGGAAATCAACACGGCGTCATCGAGCTTGAGCAAGGCTGGGAAGCCGGATGATCCGGTAAGTTTTGGATTTTATGTGAACTTTTGGCTGCACAATCTAACACCATACAGCTACAACAGATCGTCAAGGTCCTCAACGGACATCTGTCTCAACTCCAATGGATTGATCAGAACGCCGCTGCATTGCAAGCCAAGGTCGCAGCCGCTCAAAAAGAGGGTCGCAGCCTCGGCGCCAGCATCCACGGCGACAACGAGTCCGAGGCATCCCACGAGATGCTCCGTTCGTATTTGGGCAGGAGGTAATGGGTGGTGGTCATGAAATGGGTGGTCATCACGAAGGAAGGACGAAGGAAGGACGGGGACAGGATTAGGGTATATGGAGTTTTTTCCCAAAAGAGGGTATGGAGTAGACATTTTTTGCTCATGTATTTGCGAGTGGAAGAATTTGTATTATTCAGGAAGATATTCGGCCGCAGGTACCACGTGGGGGGAGGTGAGAGTTGTATATGGGACCAGTAGAGAGTTACACAGGCCGAGGGCTGTCAGTGATGGTACACTGTTAATGCACCGCACAATAGGACCTCTGTCCGTTACCAACTATTTAAATACAGCCACGCGTGAATCCTCCTCCTCCAAACTCAACTCCTCATGGCGCCACGGAGATCGGTATTCAGCTAAACGGAGAGAAAGCCTCAGCTATGCCCAGTGTATCCAATGCGTGCCGTGGGGGTGTCGCGGCATACTCACTTTTGCTCGCCGCCCTGGCTCTTGGTGTACTCATCACTACAACAGAGACTCCGTCAGCACTCCGCTCTATTATAGGATCCGTAAGGTTGCAAAGGGGAATCTCACATATCCTGCTCGAGCTTCTTGATGTGATCCTGCGATTTCTCAAGTCTCTTCTTGAGTTCCAGGAGCTTCTCCTTCTCGCGCTGGCGGATAGCGTAATCCTCCTGGGCCTTCTCGCGCTTCTGGAACGCATCACTGTAGGTGCCGCAGCTTATTAGTCAAGAGCTCCATCGATCTGAGGGAGGTGATGATGCAACGCACGTTTGTCCAGTTGGGCGGACGGCACCGGTATCACCGGCACCCATGGCGCGGGCAGTGGTTGCGAAAGCGCGGGTCGCGGGGCGCGTGGCCTTGACGATGGACTGGCGGAACATATTTGTGATTGTGTGCTGTTGTTGGGGATATGGTTATGAGGTAGTAGAGGTGGAGGCAGGTTTCCTTGGGAGCCGATTTCATAAGCTTGAGCTCGTTCCTTGGCAACGGAACGGGCAAGCTCGGATATGTTGGTCACGTGACTGATGTATGCTGTAGAGAGCGGTATATTTGTCACGTGAATGTATGCTGTAGAGTAGAAACCCTGAGCGGTATATTAGTCACGTGATTGATGTATGCTGTAGAGTAGAAACCCTGAGCGGTATATTAGGGTCACCTGATTGGATGACGGGTGGTGATACGTAGAGTATGTCATTGGGTGTGCGTGTAGAATTGCAGCGGAGGTGTATCCAGTATCGCCCAGCAAGAACCCAGCAAGCACCCAGTAACACACCGGTGTGGCCTTCGTCCTATGTATTGTGCTGTACCCCGTACTGTAGTGTACGGGGAATATTCCCCGACGGCCATGTACAGCGCGTCAAGACATAAATATAGACGTAAATATAGACATAAATATAGACATAAATATAGACATAAATATAGACATAAATATAGACATAAATATAGAAATAAATAATTTAAAATACCTACAATTTCCAATAAAATATAGCGATTTGATATGCCCATGCCTTTAATTTTTGGAGAAGCGCCTGATTGCGCTCCTACCACAGTGCGCGCTCTCATCCCCCCTCACTCCTTTGATCGACACTACCCCTTCCTTATTAGGTTTAGCTCCAAAAACAGCGAGAGGTGGTTGTTCCATCCGCTTCCCACCTGCTTCAACCTCAACTCACCCAAACCTCAAAATACACAATATTTCCCCTTGACACGCTTTATAATCTCACTTTACCTTCGCCTTGATCCGTCTTCTGTCTGATCACCCTCATTATTCGTTTAGAACCTCTCATCCCCTCTATAAAAGACAGGTAAGCACTTTCTCCTTATGTTGTTGTTGCTTGGCGATCGTTATCCGCCATTTCACCCCCCAAGCCCTCCCCTAACCCAATTCCATCGGACAACAACATTACCCTTCAATGGGCCCTATATCTTGCGCCATCCGGAGCGCCTCATCGACATATCGCTTTATCATTGTCAGCGCGGCTTTGCGACTCTCGCTTCCGTTGTTGTGATGCCCGACGACCCCATTCGGCACGGGAACCATGGAGGGGTAACACACATACCTGGCACCTTGTCCTCTCATACCATCAGCTGCACGGCATACCACAAGCACAAAGCCGACTATATCTAGCTGGATGCCAGTATTCCTTTCGACCATCCTCCAGACACCAATCGTCCATGTTCACCTCTGGCCGTCCAGCTTGCCCTAGACGCATCTAGCGCGACACCTAACACCACGTAACCCGCACGAGGCTTATCGGCCATATTGGCCTTCCAAACAAACGTCAGTACATCATTTACTAACGTATTCTGATCACAGCATAATCCCCGCAAAAATGGGTTACGAAGATTCTGTCTACCTTGCGAAGCTCGCAGAGCAGGCTGAGCGCTATGAAGGTAAGTCGTTCTATACGAGGTCCGGCGCGTTATCGTCGTCTGACTTGTGGTGTTTACAGAGATGGTCGAGAACATGAAGAATGTCGCTTCTGAAGATCAAGAGCTCACGGTTGAGGAGCGCAACCTTCTGTCCGTTGCCTACAAGAACGTTATCGGAGCCCGCCGCGCGTCGTGGAGAATTGTCACCTCGATTGAGCAAAAGGAGGAGTCGAAGGGAAATGCCGGCCAGGTTACTCTCATCAAGGAGTACCGCCAAAAGATTGAGGCCGAGCTCGCCAAGATTTGCGAGGATATCCTTGAGGTTCTTGACAAGCACTTGATCCCATCTGCCCAGAGCGGAGAGTCCAAGGTTTTCTACCACAAGATGTGAGAATTCACTCTGGAGATACGTTGACAGCAGCTGACGCGATCGACTATAGGAAGGGCGACTACCACCGTTACCTCGCTGAGTTCGCCATTGGCGACAAGCGCAAGGAGTCCGCCGACAAGTCCCTCGAGGCCTACAAGAACGCTACCGAGGTTGCCCAGACTGACCTCGCACCAACACACCCAATCCGTCTTGGTCTTGCCCTGAACTTCTCCGTGTTCTACTACGAGATCTTGAACTCCCCAGACCAGGCTTGCCACCTCGCCAAGCAGGCCTTCGATGACGCCATTGCTGGTATGTTTTGCTTTTGTATCACACAGTATTCTTGGCGGTAACTAACACAAGAAACAGAGTTGGACACCCTCAGCGAGGAGAGCTACAAGGACTCCACTCTTATCATGCAACTCTTAAGGGATAACCTGGTTTGTTTACACCCATCCCTACATTTGTGAACTGCCCCTAACGAAATATAGACCCTCTGGACCTCTTCTGAGGCCGAGCCAGCCGCCGAGGCCGCTCCTGCCGAGGAGAAGACTGAGGCCGCTGCCGCCCCAGCACCTACCGAGGCCAAGGCCGACGAGTAAATTGACAAAAGCTGGCGTTCCTGATCGGTCATGCGGGTTACTTGTGAAGTAAAGGGGTTGCTTTTAGCACGTTTTCGCATAACCTATTTATCGACACAAACGACGGAGCTTTTTGGAGGTTCATTCACAGAAAATCTTGCGCGCGCTATACTTTTGTGATGGAGGCCCCTAATGCGTTCAAGGCCATCTTTGTTACCTTTTTTGGCCTTGTCTAGTTTGTCAAGAATAGAATTTGCCCCTGCACTGGCCGATGGCGTCTTCCACCCAACCTTTTTTGTCGCTCTCTCTTCTCTCGATCGATCAAGCGTAAACACACAAGACAAAGATTCCTTGATTTCTTTAATCTCCGGCGGGGTATAGAGGTCTTACTACCCGAGTGGGCGTCTCTATCTCACTTAGACAGACTATGAATAAAAAAAAGCATTTGCACGTTCAGTCAATGAGTAGCAATAATTATGCCCATTGTGATATGTTTGTTGACCCTTGAGTACGTCGATAATATCATGTATGGCATGCATACAAACATGTGACTGGCCACTTCTCGCGTCTCATCATAACTCAAAATTCACTCCTGGCCCATACAAACAAACAATCACAACTTCAAATATAGTAAATAGAATTCATGAATTTGTGCTTTCATTGATGTCTTCTCGGTTAGTAATCTCTATCATCAACCTCATCATCATTCATCCTCCAGTAATAGTCCAAACCAAACCCAAACACCAATAATGGTTTCTTAAAACCCAAACAACACAACCCCCATAACATCAAAACGCCGGCCCAGTTCCCAAACTCCAAAAGCTGAAAACAAAACAACCAAACCACACTATGCTGCGCCCAAACGCAATAAAAACTAGGCGCCCCCGCCTAGCTATGGAGACGATGACTTATGCCCATGCCTATGAAACGCCCTTCTCTTATGCAAACTACCGGCTCACGAAACGACGTACAGGAATTCGTATACACAGACAACAATGCAGTGCAAATCCGTCGACTTTCTATGCGGAACAAAAACTCCAGGGAGCAGATGATGCCTCCCTAACAACCGGACAGACGGCTTAGATGCCAGACGCCTTGCGCGTAGCAGCAGTCAAACTGACGCTCCCGACGCGACTGCTGGCCTTGCGGACACCCGCGGGCGCCTTGTCGCGCATGAGCGAGTCAGCGCGCTTCGGGCTCCCGCGAACCTTCATGCCGATGGTCTGGGATCCGCTTCCCGACTTCATGCTTCCGGGCGTCTTGGGGCAGCCGCTGCCAATATTCTCAATATCGTTGCTGCTATCGTTGTCGATGGCGGAGTATATAGTCGTGGTAGTCTGGCTGACGGAGCGTGCCTCGCTGCGAGCGGGCGAGCGCGACGACTTGCACGTGGTGCGGACGCGCACGTTCCACTCCTCGTCTTCGGATTCGCCGTGCACGGATTGGCGGTGGATCGAGATCATCTCCGTCTCGCGCTTGACGTCGTTGGCTTCCTCGGAGCTGCCGTAGCTGCCCGTGTTGCGGCCGTAGGGGTGGTGGCTGTCGTGACCGCTGCGGCTGCCCTTTCGTGGCTGGCCTGGTGTGGGAGCAGGGAGGCAGTCTTCTTGGACTCCGAGGCTGTTGCGCTCGTTGTCGACTTCGCCGAGAGGAGCGCGTCTGTTTTGGATGCCGTTGGGAGGGGTGGCAACTTGTGCGCTGTTGAGGCGGAATTTTTGGGTGGCCTTTGTGGGGGTGCTTGGTGCGGCGGCCAACTTGGCCTTGATCTCCGACTCGATCTGAGCGCGCATATCGATCTCGAACTGCTCTCGCTCCCACCACTTGCGGAAAGTGCCTTGGTTCAAGTGAAGCCAATGCTGCTGGGGCCCGACCACCATCCCGGGGCGCATGAAGCGCATAAATGCAATAATCTCGTTGGCACTGAAGCCGTACCTGTAGATGAGGTATGCGCCAATGAGGCATCCAGTACGTCCAAGTCCGGCCTTGCAGTGGACTGCAATGCCCTTCTTCTTGACAGTGATGGTCTCGTGGGCCAGGGTGATGAATTTGCGAACAGTTGTCAACGGTGGGCAAGTGCCGTCATCGAATATCATGTCGAGGTGCTCGATACCCAGAGCTGTGAAATATGAGGGAGAGTACAACTCCGAGTTTAACCTGACGACAAGGCCAATCTGGCGCTCGGCGAAATGTGTGAGCACATTCTTGAATGGCTGGGGGAGTGTAGGGTGGGCGTCCACCTCGTCCAATGTCGAGGGAAGGGTAGCATACAAAGGTGATGACTTGGCGATTGGCGCCACAGGTGTATGTTGGGGAGAAGCAAAGGCAAGGAAGTCGGGAGTGAGCCAGTTGAAGTCACCTTGGTCCACACGCTCGTACCTCTCATATTCCTCGAGATCAAACTGTGGTAAGGCGCAGAATCCCTCCTCCTTCGCTCTCCACACGCCGTAAACAACATCTTGAACGGTGATGCCGTAATCAGCCTGGCTGTAGCCAGCGTCGCGGAAAGGCATCATAGGTGGATCGGCTTGAGCGATCGGCGCAAGAGCAAGATGAGGAGCCCATGACTGGATCAACACCATGTAGCATGCGAGGAGGCAAGCGGCATTTGCGCGGCCTAGAACGTTATTGTCAACAACATTCCATGCGATTCATGGAGACTCGACATACTGCGGGGATCAGCTTTGCTGTAGAAAACCACAGGCCTCGCCTTGTTCTCGGGCGCTCCAAGGATATCATGGAATTGGACGGCGAAGCGGTACAGGTGTCCGATGTGCAATGGTCCAAAGTCGTGGTGGAAAGCATTGTAAAGCAGGGTATCGTCAACAGAGAAGTAGCATGGTGGGTTCTGGTCCTTTGCTACTGGTTCCGGGCCATCAATAGCCCTGCATGAGCGCTTTGACGGGGATCGCCTCGAAGGTTGTTTGTCGTGATATGGGAAGTAAGTGTCGGGTCCTGGGGTAGATGTGTAGGATGCTAGGTATAAACGGTCTGGCAGAAACGTTAGCAATGATTCGGGCCCTTGTTGTTTGCGCCCAGCAACGAGGGTCTCGGTGTCGGATATTGAGGGACCCATTTAAGACCAAACAAATACTTGGATAGTGAATGATGGTCCTGCAATACTAAATGGCACGGGGGGCGATATCTAACATGCTCCCGTGCCATGGTATCTACACGGTGGAGAGCAAACCAGGGCATGGGAGAAATATGGCGCCGACGGCATTCCACAGAGACACATGTTGGGAAGGAGCGATTCTGGAATGCTTACCTGGTATATACTCAATGATCTGCCCATAATGGGAGCGCACGGTAGAAGGCATGATGCAGATTAGATTGCTGTGCTGGTAAACAAGATTCAAGGCAGTGCGACTGCCAGGCTCTCTGTGTTATACGTTTCGTTGCTTGATTCAAACAGCAAGTGAAGCAGGAGCGACTCGTGTATAGTAGTTGCGCGAAGGAAGTATTGGCTTTTTCTAGTTGCCAGGGAATGGCAGGCGTGATGATGTGGCAACGTGCTATTGACCAAACATTATCTTCGATATGGAGCAGGAATATGAAGCTTGAACTCGTCGCTGGAGTAGGAATGAGACTCGTCAACCTTCTCAATGTCGAAGGAAGAAGTATATAGCTGGGCGAGAGAGTAAATACAGGAGATCGTTGGTAGAAGTCGTCTTGTTGGTATTTTGAAGACTGGACTGTGCCTCTCTATTATTATACGAATAATCCAGAAGCACTGTTTAGGCCTACGCTGCCCCAATTGGCCATATGTTGTTGTTTACCCCTCAATTCAACCAATCATAGGCCGGGCTGCTAAGCGGGTGCGCTTGTCATAGCAACGCCTCTAATTGTCTGGTCCGTGCCGCGGGGTTTTGAGCCGCCACGAACCTGCATTATCGACACCACCAGTCGCCCAGGCTACGACCCCGAGTTTCAGCTATACTTTGAGTTACTATGGCTGTCGCCGTGGACCCAGAGTTTCCTTGCTCGCTGTAAGGCAGATCAGATCTTGAACCACACTAAATAAAATATCCTCTGACATCTTTACAGCGTCATTGACATCCCGCTGCCGACTGAGCGCCTTGCTTCCTTTGCGTTGCAGGCCCTACAGGTTGACAAGGAGCTATCTGCGCTCGTATGCCGCACGCTGACTCTCGTTGCGCCGACGTCGGATGCGAATTGTGACAAGACTGTGCTGCGCACCGAATACAAGGCTACGACGAACAGAATGCTTCGTGTTGCCGTCAATGGCTTCATGGAGAGCTTGTCTGTAGCCCTGTCTATGATGGAGGAGTTGGATGTTGATGTACTGGACACATGAAACGGAGGGCTCTTCTATTGAACCCAAATCAGATCTGTGCAAAAGGGCAACAGTTTCGCCGGAGAAGCCAACTTGGCGCCGCCAGCACCGGATTGCGGAATCGTCTCCATCCGGTACCGCCCTTGGAATCGATAGTAACAATATCTATTTGCTATACTTTCGATCTACCAGGGCAAGGCCACAGATAAAGGCTGTACCCCCCCCCCAAAAAAACCATGAAAGAAAAAGACTCGATATATTCTCAATAGGTAACAGATCACATACTGTGTTTCAGGATATGGTGGTCAGTAGCGAGCTATTGGACCGTTGCAATGCATAGATAGGTGCACACAAATGCAGTCTACCAGAATCTGGAAGTTGCGAAACACAAATCACGTTCCAGCTATGTTGTGAAAATGACTGTCCGTGACTCAACTTGTAGCCGTAATGCCACAACCTCGAGACATGAAATCCTAGACGGCCGCCGGTTTAGCCAACTTATTGTATGCAGTATGGAGTTGTATATACTCTACGACGAGAATAACGTCACATACGACCATAGACTCAAGAGAATTGGGCATCTCTGCCGGAGATGGTCGCTGAATGCAACGACTTTGAGATTTCTGTTGATGGAAAACTTGATAACCAATTGCTGTATCGCGTGAACGGTTCCAAGGCCAATGCTGCTTTTATCTGACAACACCACCACACGAAACGGCCAAACGTACACGGCCATCGCAAAATAGAAAGATGCAAGGCAGACAAAGCCCTCTGTTTTCCAATGTTGGAAGTCGGCTTTCCAAATCCCGGAAACGGTAAATCGGCTGTCCAGAGGTTGATTGTCCCGAGATTGATCGATTACTCGCCCAAAACCTCCCGACCTTTGGTTCATTGACCACTCACCTCCAACACCTCTTTATTCTGAGATTTAATTTATTCCATTTTTTCTAAAACAGCCCAAGTCATCGTGTTTACATTTCAGACAATGTTGCAAAACACTCAGGAGCATGGCTTCGATGGAATCAACCAACTTCTAGCCAGGGAACAGAGGCTCCAGAGTCAAACTCACCGCAAACAGCTTACACAGCCTTCAATTAAATCCTATCGTCACTTGGAGAAACGCTGGTGCTAGTAAGTAGACCCGTTCATGATAAGTATCATGTTTAACCCCAACAGGTACCATGTGAACATTGGCCTAGCGCGCAACACGCTATATATACTGTAACGGTCGGTCATCACCACCCCGTTACACCTAGACGGGGAGAAATGTCTCGCAAGGGGGTCTCCTTGTCCAACTCCTGGGCGCCTAAAGAATTTCATAGCCTGGTATGCTGAAACTAGCATTGGCACATTGAGAAGCAAGCCTACACAAGTCTCGATGAAAACCGGTTGCGAGACTTGGGCGCCATGATCTATCAAGAGACAGGAACAAACATACCGAAAGTGCTCAACGAGCGTGTCTGTGGGGTAAGCTTTGCATTCCATGTATATTTCAATGTTAACAACCTGTTAGTACATCGAAACGGAGCTTGCCAACACACACGGCGTTGAAGACGCCCTTAGAGAGAAAGACCCTCGTTGATTCAGTTGATTTATTTCAACTCCTGCAGTACTTGTAGACTCACGATTCGTATGACTTCCAGCATCCTCGTTACCGATCTCAGATTGTATTCTTGATACAGATCATGGCATATACTAGAGCTCGCCTAGGCACTATAGTAGTCTTTTCGGCTTATGCTAAATCGAATGACTCCTTAAAATACAAGGTAGGAACATCTCTAATATATGAAATTAAGGCTCCGGCTTGCGAAGGGACGGAGAAACTTTGCGAGGTTGGTACTCTGTTCGCCTTGTTCCACGCCAATAATTAACACAGAGTAGATCTACTGTTGTGACCCTCCACGAAGACCGCAAGTGTCGAGGGCCAGCGTCTTGACCTTAAAGCTGTTCTTCGGCCATATAACTTTCGCCGCGGTACGGCTAACGCCATAGCTGGTAAAGTCACAGCTGAGAGATACACGAAGTTGTTGAATCACACCACGAAGACATCCGCTGAATATTATGCCTCAGATGAGGTTAAGGTAGACTTGCAGAACCTCTTCGTTAACGCGGAGCAAGAGACAGAGCGTCTAGATAAAATGCACACAGACTCATATTCTTCAAACGAGCATTTCCAGTAATAGTATGGGTCAACATACGACGAATGCTAATCTACAAACACGTCTCTGGAGCCCAAGCCTTAAATCCAGAGAACGCATCACCGGTTTACAATGTTATCTACGCCGACCATAATCATTTACTCGAGTACCATCGAGACTTACGCACTCTGGTTCCTGACGTAGGGTACTCAGTGAGAAGATCATCAACGAATACCTGATCGGCGGCACGGATCACATTCCACACGGTCTTCTGAAAACACTTGACACCTTCTCCGCAATATACGTTCCAATTAAAGTAAAGACCCACTGGATACCCGCTGTGTTATATCCAGGCTCTCTCGGACAACGAGGGCGTTCTGAGGTCTATGACAGTCATCAGCATGGACCAGCAATATCATGACTACGAGCAACGTCTTTCAGTTCCTGAAATTCCGACTGGGCGATGAATACAAGTCCGGAGCTTGTAATGCAATCCGTTGTTGAGGCATTTTGAAGGGATCGCCGGCACCGGAGCTGAACAGGGTAGGCAATAGTCACAGGAATATTAGCAAGGACTTGCAGAGCGACGCAACACGGCGGATTGAGTAAGTTGAGGATGGCTGAGTGTAAAAAATACGCGTTTACTTCCACCTCAGACTCACTCCTGCTCCTCTTGCTGCTTTGACACGCTGTCATCTGATTCTCAGTTTGCCTATTATCTCTCTTCAGACGCGAAGCTAGTCGGGCCTAGTTCACCAAATATCTTCTCAACCCTTTCCAATCTTGCAAATCCGCCCTGCATCCACAATGGACATCGCTGTCTTAATCATCGTTTCGAGTAGCGACTCAAATCTTCATAGCCATCCATGAGTTTACGGTTGGGCCGGCCAGTTCATGAACCAGCTCAGTTCACGGTTGGGCCGGAACATATATAACGGATTCACATATAAACTTGATCGTAATATCTTATATTTCAGGCAATTGATCGATGCGAGAAATATTAATGTAATAACATTAGAGACCTTGGTTAAACGAAAGCATTACCGTCGGAATTGATCATTATCAAGACGCCCCTTTCCATCAACCGGTCTGATGAGCACACTACAAAAGAATAATACAGGCAAATATGTGCTTATAGAGTCAATTGATAAGTCAACACCGGGCCATAATACCAGCTCTTGCAGTGGCCTGTTTGTGCTAATAAGCCTACTCAACGACGAGACCTCCCACAACTAAACATCTTTGCCTTGATGTCTTCTAACCAGCCATTAACTGTAGTCTTCAATTTATGAGATGGTCTAGTAGGGTCAAGGTCAGACTCATCATCCATCTCGGAAAAATCAGGGGCTTGGAACTGATCCCATGCGTCTCCTGTCCTCCACGGGGCGCCGACGGAGGCTTGTCTGCTTCCTGTTCCGAGATGTTGGATGGGCTGTTCGGCCCATAGACCTGGTATATTATTTTGCAGATTGCTGGATTCCTCCAACTGAGAACCGTAGTCACAGAAGCAGCTTTGGGTTCCTCCCGGCTGTACATCAGCTGGCATGACTGCTGCACCATGTGGGAGTTGTCGGGCTCTTTGAGAGTTTATTGGACTCATTCTATCTTGAGATGGCTCTCGAGATACGAGAGGGTACGGCAATGAAGGAGAGCCAACGAACGCATCAGACCTCGGAAGAATCTGGGGATAGGGGCCGTCCATTATAGCCTCTGCACCGGTTGCTTGCTCTGGATTACTCGAAATAACCGGGAGCTCGGTTTCACCTAGTTCTCCAACGCCAGTTGCCTCTGGCGCTTTGATCTCCTCATACTCATCCTTCGGTCGAAAATGGCGACTGACCTGACGAAATAAGCTTGCGAGCCTTGCGGGCGGTGTAAACAAATCCTCGGGGCTTAATACTTCCGAACCCCCCAAATCTGCCTGAACTGCAGCCTCTCTGTTGATCCTCACCGTTCCTAAAGACGATACCTCTTGCAACCTTCAGTTTGAGCCTTAGTGCTAAATTGTCAGGTCTGGGGAAATTTGCAGTGAGTTGGACATCCCGCCGGCGGTCATCCAATGGATAGCTCTCATCTAAATCCCGTCGCCGAGTAACTGGAGGAGAGGGTTTCGCTCGAACAGTAGAAGCTCGCGTCTTTAGTCTAAACTTCGAAAAGAAATGTTGTGTTGTTCGCCCTACCTGCGGCTCGGAATCATCCATTGTCAGAGGGGCCAAACATTGCTGGTGTGGGTGAATTGGAATCGGAGACACAACATCGACTGTGCCAAAATTGTCGCGGCCTCCGGAAGACGGGACTTTGTCAAAAGGTCCAGCCTGGCCCAAATAAACCCCTGAATTCCTATGTTGGTTGCTTTTTCCAGAAGCTTGAGTGAATATGAATTCACTTCTTGGAACCACTAGGCTGCCATCGCTCCTGTACTTTCTGGCCGAGAATTCCATCTGGTTGTGCTTGGAGGAGTGTTTATAACGCCGAAGAGGCATGGAGCTGCTCTTGGCATCTGACGACTCGGCATAATTTTGACTCGGTGCATCGAATGAGAAATCTCGTGGCCGGGTTGAAGACATTGAAACCTCTGGTATAATGTCCGGCTGTGTTGAAGATGTCGAGTTGGGCCTTGCTCGGAAATACGGACTTGACTTGTCGCGCTTGTTCTGTGCTGATATCGAGCGTTGAAGAATAGGGGTAGTTGCCCTTGTCTCGAGATCTTGTGGAGCTTGTGTTGGCGCTACCAGATCTAACTTATTCATAAATCTCTCGTCGCTGTCTGTCTTATCTTTTTCTTATACCTCACGACTGAGAGGCTTCCTTTTAACATCATGAATCGCAGCGCCTTGGCTGCTTATCGGCAAGCCGGACTCGGTATAAGTGCGAACGGGGCCGCCAGGAGGGCCAAACAATTGCTGCAAACGTGGAGATACGGCATAAGATGAACTATAACTCAAGGTGGGTTCATCGACCGCTTCGCTGGGTTGGTTTTCTGGCTCGGTATGAACAAGGTTTCTCAACTTGTAATTTTCCGTACTGGTGCTTGTTTCGATGTTTGTGATGGGCTTTGATTGGACTTTGTGATTCCTACGTTGTGTTTCAAGGCAGGCGATTTAGTTGATCCCGGCAATGACCTGTGGTGTTTTGCATTTTCTGGCACTGACTCCGAGTCATCTTGCAGTAGTAGCTTGCCCCCACCAACATATGAAATATCGGCAGGCTGGCTCGATAGACTCTTTGTATATTCAAGTGGCAATAAAAGTTGTTCATTTGCGAGGAAACCACGCCCCTTTAAATCAGTCATAGACAGATATGACCAGTCTGAGCTTAGCTCCCGATCTTCGTGGATCGTTTTTTCAACAAGGGTGGCGGCGAAATGCCCTCCAATTCTTCTGCGGCATTACACCTCCCTGGCTTCATTAAAGTCTTCCGTATAATCATAATATACAGGGGAAGGTTTACGAGCTTTATTTTGGATTGGGACAGATGCTGCTGTGCGAGTGGGTAAATGAGAATTGCTACTGGAGGCCACACTCAGGTTAGACTTTGATGGCGATTCTGGTGTGTCGATATGATTCGAACATTCGCGGGGTGCATCATCTCGTTGGATCACTGGTATGCGTTTGAAACCGTGTGGCGAAAGACTCTGTCCAGTGGCCGCAGGTGTGGATCTGTTTACATCTGAGCGAAGTGATAAAGGGCGCAGTGATACATTCTGGCAGTTCTCTGGCAGTTCGGACTGCCGGTTTCTCTTTGAATCTCAACTCGGCGATTGTAATCGACTGCCCCTCCGTCAGTAAGTGCGGGTGAACTGGGCCGAAAGCCAGGCCTTCTCAGCCTGACTGGGTACTGAAATGAAGATCGTGGCCGTTGTGCATCATTTGGGTCCATCTGACTGCTGAGGCTAGTAGAAGAGTGAGGGTTTGTGAGCCTATATCCCGAGAACAAAGAAACGTTCATCGAGTATGAACGTCTGTCTTGATCTTCCAAGATCTTTGAGCTTTCGGAGGATTTCTGACTCGAGTTTTCGTATAACGATGCAACTTCTGACGTGGCATCTCTGCCGAATGAAGGTAGTCGACTTCTGTCATCAATGGTGGAGGGCAAACTGAATACCCGGGGCCCATGGTATGGTAGTTGAGATTCCGCACGGCGGTAGTTGCTACCGTTGCTCCTTGTTCTGCCTGCCGCCCTGGTGATTGCAGGATGGCGAGGAAGTCTGGAAGGCTTGATCGAAAAAATCCCAATGTCACCAGTTTCGGTAGTATTCACAGCATGCTATTCAGCCCGGAAGGAATGAGGAGGGGATCCTTATTTTGCATGGCGAGATTGTATGGGCGATGGGCTTCATGTCCTGGCTTCGAACCAGGCTGATTCTGGCGAGACTCATTGAGCAGCTTCTGGGTCGCAGACCGCTGCTCTGCTGAAGTTGTTTCGTCCATTTCTGCCCTCTGCAAATCCGCATCTGGTAACAGGGGGGCCTCTGTGGACGTTTCAACAAAAGGTGTCGAGTTAAAGCCGACGAATTCACATATGGAGATACCTATGTTGGGACCTATCCGACGACATAGGAGATAAAAGGTAGAAATGCAGTAATATCGAACGGGGACCTTTTGAGTAGTGGAATAAAAAACGATCTGACGGCCTGTGTACGAGCGCTCACAGAGATGGACGCAATGAAAGCAGGCAGAAAGGAAAGAGAGAAAGAGAGAAGGGGAAGTGAACAGTAGTCTAGCTTGCCGTTGGATTCTCAAAGAATTAGTGGAAGGAAGGAGGGAATGACAACTACTAGTATGAAGAGTAGTACAGTAATCACTGCCTATAGCGGACTCGGCTATAGCGGAAACCTCCTAATACCGAACCCCTTCCCACAATCACGCGAATTTTGTATGGCAATACCAGAAACCTCCTTATACCTGAATTCCGGCCAAGATCCTTAACTTCCGGTATAGAAAATGGCACCTCCACCACCCAAAAAGCCTCGAATCTCAATTACGAATGCACAAAAGCAAGCTTTACGAGCTTGGTACTATGATCCTACAACTCAGAGCACAAAGAAGACATTAGCAGATGCTTCAACTTGGTAGAATGATCAATATGGACATACTTTGAGCTCTTCGACTGCAAGTGAAATACTATCCTCAAAATACACCTCTCTTGACACTACTACTTCTACAAAAGCATTGATAATACCAAGAAGACAAGGAAACCAAAATGGGAAGTGTTAGAGAAAGCTCTTAGAGAATGGCTTTACGATTGATGCAGTCCAGACTAATAGTCCATAGACTATCGGTCCAGTCTGCGTTTTACAGACCAGACTGATGGTCCAGTCTATGTCCATCAGACAGACTGTTGGTCCAGTCTATGTTTGTCAGACTGGACGGATGGTCTGGTCTGACTGAAACAGACTGACCAACCGTCTGGTCCAATGATCTCAGACCAACTGTCAGACTAATAGTCCCAATTTTCCTGCACGTCCTCCAAGCCAATTGAAGCCTGGCCCCTAACGCCATCGTAACCATGCTAGCCCTGTTGGGCTTAGCGATTCTCAATTCCTGTCAGTGGTTAGACTTCAATTGGCTCAGAGAGAGAGTGCAAGAGCTTTTCGGTCAAGTAATTTCAACCTACAGAGCTAGAGGTAAATACGTCTGTCCACGTGACGGTATGAGTGTTTATTTTTCATCATCAGTATATATTTTGGGCCCAGTAACGGTGCCAGTGATGGAATCGAACATGTGTGCAGCCACAATTTACTGCAAAACCTATCACAAGTCATGTCTTCTATTGGCGATCTCTCAAGTAGTGCTTCTGGCTGTAATAGCCGTCTGGACGATTCTGACCTTAACTTAGCCACTTCTTCTTCGGCAGCTTCCTCATCTTCAAATCCTAGCGCCCCCCGCCACAAGACATCCCCTATCTGGCAACATTGTCGACTAGAAGAGGGCAGGAATATACCAGCTGCCTGGGTTGATTCCAACAGAGGAAATGGTGGTATTGCCAACCCTGCTTTGACAGGAAGAAAGCAGACAAGAAGTACAACTGCTCTGGTGGATCGTCCACTATCATCGATCATCTGCGTAAACAGCTTGGAATTGTGCTCTCTAAGAGGCAAGACATCCACCGGGAAGCTACAGAAAGCTGCCTTGGAGACATCAGTTCCTTCTTGAGCAAAGAAACCCTGACCTCTACCAAGAGACGCAAGGTGACAGTAGAGGAGGATGCGCTTGACCAAGCCACTCTGTGTGAACTATACTGCCGCTACACAGTAGCTTGCAGTCTCCCTTTTGCTCAGGTCGAACACCCAGCCTTTCGTAACTTCATCCGCTATCTTCGTCCAGCTGCCGATGATCTCCTTCCAAGGTCTGGCGATACAGTTAAAACCGACTTACAATGGGGCTATGAAAACAAGAAGAAGTTTGTAAAGAGAGCTTTGCAAAATGCTCTTTCTTTGATCCATATTATTCCTGACAATTGGACTTCACCGAATGGTTTGGGGGTCATTGGTTTCACAGTTTAATTCGTAACCAAAGATCACAGTTTACAATCGCTTGTGGTGAGGATTAAGGAGCTGGAAGGAGAACACAGTGGAGAAAACATGCCTGAAGCCATCATGGAGTTCATACGAGAATATGGAATCGCTACAAAAGTTGGATATTTCATGATGGACAATGCTAGCAACATGAACACAAGGGTTGACAAGGTCTCGGATGAACT